ACAGCCTTACCCCCACCACCCCAAATCCCAGCCAGCCCCCACACATCCACACATCCACCCCCACACACCACCACCAGCCCTCCATGGACTCATGCTGTTCAGGGCCCCAAGACCCTCAGAACAGAGCCCAGCTAATGGAAAGCTTTCAAGGCGGCCAGAGAAAAATGTCGGCTCTCATTTGGCCTCCACCATTTTCTGATGTCACTGGTGTGTGTGTGTGGTCACATCTTTGGAATCACACACACGCACAAACACCTCAGGACATGCCATTATAAACAGGCCTGAAAACTGAAAACAACAACACTGTCCACCCCACACAGACACCTGCATGTGCTTACATGAATGTGTCACCTAAAGAAAATGCTTTAAACAACATAATGTCAAAACAGACAATGAACAATTAAATACAAAAGAAAACAGGATGAAAACAGACAGTACAAGCCTAGAAACCAGTGAACTGGATAAAATAGGTAAACTAAAATGAATTTATTAAATTCAGGCTATACTATAAAAGTATGATTTGAGAAATGATTTTAAAAAAGGTTGTGTATAGTTCAATGATGTAGTAGTTGCCTGACCATGCAATGCCTTAGAGGTCCAATGTGTAACATTTACAAGGATCTGTTGAAAGAAATTAAATATAACCTTCATAGAAATGTTTTCATTTGTGTATAATCACCTGAAAATAAGAATTGTTTTATCTACAGATGCCACGGGTTGCCTTCCATGTTGAACTGCCATGATTGTACAGTGGCCAGATCGGTAAAAGAAACACTGGCTGTAGATAGGGCCTTTCACGTTTCTGCGCATTTCGGGGAAACCTTAGTTTGTGAAGTGTGAGGGGTTTGCGATCTGCAACTACTCAAAAGCTGAGCAATAAAATTTTTAAAATCATTTCTAAAATGAACAGGCAGTGGCAGCCAGTGTAGAGAAGCTGAAACTGGTGTAATATAATCCCATCTATGAGTTCCAGATAAAAGCTGCGCATTTGGTACAATCTGTAGCCTGTCTAAAGCTTTTGGTTTTAGGCAGGTGATCCGTCCAAGATGAGAAAAATGAAGGCGTGTGTGTGTGTGTGTGCTTCACTAAATTTAAAACCCAGTGTAGGTTGAACCTTTGCTTTGTTGGTAAATTAATAAAAAGATTGAACTATTCTAGTAGCATGGTGATTCAAATTTAAGCTGGGTTCAAATGTTATACCACAGTTTTTAGCTAGAGGTTTAATGTTGCAGGATAAGAATCATACACAACTGATCAGAAATATGTCGAGAGTCAAGAATAAGAATATTTGTCTTGGTTGCCATCCAGTGTTTGATATGGAAAGTTCTGTAATGAGTACAGCATACTAAGGTCAGTGAGCTTTATTGGAAGGTGTCATCAGCATAAAAATGAAATTAGATCTAATAATACTACCAAGAGTGAGTGAGTAAATACAGGGCAAGTTAAATAGCACCCATAGCATCCTATAGTATTGAAACTAAAATAAAAGAAACTATTGAAATAAATTGCTTTATGTGTAAAAATCTCTAAAACAATAAAGTGATAAGCAAACATGCATCCTTGTCCCACGCCACACTGTAAAAGTCTATATGGTGTGTAAAAAAGGGACCGGGGGAAGTGTGGCAGTGTGGCTTGTTAGCCCGGAGAGGCCGGCTCTGCTCTCCCCACACGTGTTGGGCCTGTCAGCTGCCTCGCTGATGTCTCTTGTTATTATTTTCCTCTCATTCTACTGCCTTTTCTTTGCCGAGTCATGAATAATTTGTGTCTACGCCTTGTTGCTCGATGACAGCTGTGCAGTTGGTTTTGCAGTCTGTTTTTCAGATCAGGTGAATAATGAATAAGCCTCTGCAACAAAAGAGCTACGTCCTATATGAGCCCTGCTTCTCTTCGTCTGTCCCGGCTTAGTTGGCGTGTCAACCACCAGGGAGGGGACAGGTAAGCAGGAAAAGTCTCTCTGATGCAGAAAGTTTCCTACATGAATGCAGAATGTATGAAAACAGTTTTATTTGGATCTTCCAGGAAGTTTTCCCCATCTTTTCCTGCATCCGAGCATATTAATCAGTGCTTTTTCTCCGAATCCTACCGTTAGAAATCCACTATCTCTCTCAGGTAATCTCGCTTTGCAACCCGTCAGACCTGTGTGAAATCTGCTGAACAAAGCATGAGAGCAAGTACCACATTATTATTACAATATACACAGCAGGTCTGCTCACCCTCAGGCTAATAATCACATTTGTTCTCTCTCCACAGTGTCCTCCCTACCCTCTCTCGTGAGGAGATCAACACATTAATATGATCATTCACCAGATGTTGCTGATTATAGATATTGACGCTCAGCTTGCGTGGGTGTGATCTTGATCTCTCTTTTTTTTTTATCTTTGAGGTATTGCATGCAATGTTTTAATCAGAGGATTTCCTTTAGTGCGTTGAGCTATCACAGTGGTAGATCAGGAGATGGTTTCAAAAATTGTTGCGGCTTACTGGCCTACAGTTTTTAAGTCCCATTTCAAGAGTTTGGTTTCGGTACATGAGAAAAACTATATTTGTAGGTATTTGTAGACTCTTTTACACAGTCCATCTGACAATAAAACCTATAATAGATATTCTAACTCAAGTCCAGATTGGAAATTCATGCAGCTTGATGCAAAAAAATCAAAATTAAACACCAGAGTGTCTCTAAACACTCTCTTTTATTATTCATATGTAATTTTAGATTAATAATGAATCATCCAAAACCACAAAACCCAGACACTGAACTTTCTAATTGCACAAATATGTCTGTCAAGAAAAATCAACCCAGTCCATACCTCACGGGTGGATGCATGTGTGTTTGTGTGCACAGATGTGTGCGTTTTGCACTTACAGACCATGATGCAGGCCTAGATTTGAGCCCTGGACTGCAATGCTCTGATTACTCGCTCACTCGGATCGATTGAGCCATATTCTATTCATATTTGATATGCCTCGGGGCAGTGGGGTAATGCTTAAAAAAAAAAACGACCCATGCCCTTGGAGGAAATCTGGTCAGCCTAATGGTTCGTTTGAAGATTTTTCACTAGAGAAGCTTCTCTGAGATTGTTCTTTGAGAGCAAACCATGCAACACCTTATGAGGTCATCATCGGTCGCATACAATTTGGTTTCAGAATAAACCATTGTTCAGGTGCTTCAAAAAAAGTTACAGTAGCTGGGTGTCAAACGTTTAGTTGCAGTCTACCTGTTATGCACAACAGTGAGACTAAAACACCTAAAATCAGGCCGGTGGCTTGGGGCTGCCTCAGAGTGTTGAAGGCACTTAATGGCAAACTCGGCTTCATTCCAACAGGAGGAAACTCCCCTGTGAGCAGATTCAACATCACTGAGTCTAAACAGAGAGTTCGCCCTTTTCAGATCTCTGTGACGCTCTGTAATTTCCTGTACAAGCTGCACATTTCCTGTTAAGTGAGCCACTCTCTTTTAAATGGTACTTTTAATGCATATTTTTAAAACAAAATTTCAAATTTGGAATGTGAGGTTGTTGCACATGATGTTTATATTTATTTCAAGAGAATAAATGTCCAATGCAGCACCGAGGTGCAATGCTCTGTTAAGTTGTGCTCTAAATGAGCTCGCCTTTTCCTGTTCTCCTTCCGTCTGCTCATCTTGGGGTTTAAAATATTCAGTACTTTCGCAGGCCTGGATGTTGTACGATTTTGGGGGAAGTGAGGCAGAGAAAATCCTTGTGAGTCAGTGATTTCAATCAATGTCGAGAGAAGACGACTAACTGATTGTTCCTCTTTTTCTCCCCCTTTGCTTTGTTCGAGTCAGAGAAGATGAGATAATGAATCAAATGATGGCAGTATTTGTTGAGACAGCTGCAGTGAAGGATGGTTTTCTATACAGAGTATGGCTTGAGTCTAAAGCATCCATACAAGGTACCAAAGTGATGCAGGTTAAGTGAGAATGATGGTGGAATACTATGACTTGATTAATTTGGTTTCTGATGTGACCAATATTGATGATAATTCTGATATTGATGATGATATCATATAAATAATCCAGCGCCTCTTAATTTCCGTTTCTTTCTGCCCACGCTTTGTGGTTCACACGCCAACATAGTAGGCGACAGTAATGCAGTAAAGCTGGGTGCCAGCTGACTGTAGTTCATTTGCCAAAGAGACAAAACGCACAATAAAAGTTAAAGATGAATTCATTTTTTTCAAATTTTAGATGTTGCAATAATATTGTTAAATTGAATATTATTGAATGCTTTTTGTGTATATCGTGGAGTGAAAATCTGATGGTGACTGAATTGAAGTACCACCACACTTAATGTCCATATTCTACCACTTTCTTTAATTTGTTGAAATTTGATCCACTTTATTGTCAATATTTTAATAGGATTTATCATTGTCTGATTTTAAAGTCTACACCCTCCTGTCCTGTAATCCACCAGAGACCTCAGATTCAATCCCTTTCACAACATAATCATAATAAAACTCAGCACCAAGCCCTCAGAGGATCACAGCTGCTGCATGTGCTGCCTCCTCTGCCAGCTTCCTGTTAAACTAAAAAAAAACAGCCATGAGGGTAAAAAACATTTGGTTAACGGTTAAATCTGCTCAGACTGTTTAAGGTTCAAACACATGGCTGCAGTGGTCAAAACAAACAGCAGCCGCGGGGGCCTCTGGGCAATCACAATCACGGCAGCAAGAAGTCCCAGCTCTTTGTTTTTGTGTCGGCCTCTGGCTTTAATTAACCTAAACAAATATCGTATTGTCGTATTGGCGTATGATTTGTTGGTGGAAGATTATAATAAAGCAGTTTAATCGAAGGGTAACAATAAAATGGCGCGTAATAAATGACACTTGACGGCCTGTAGGCTACAGAGGCTGCAAGGTGTCAAAAAAGCCCAATTATGACGGTGAGTTAAATGACCAGTAAGTTGACTCGTTTTATTCAGTCTCCGGACATTTCCCCGCATCCCTCGTTTGGAAAAGAAATCACCTTAGATCATTTCACTTTTAGATTTTATTGCATTTTTTTATTTCAATGATAAACACCCGGAAATTAAAAAAAAACTGGAGGGAAAAAAGATATTTAAAAAAAGTTCATTCTGACAATAAAATGTGCAAAATGGAAAAGTGGAAGATAAGAGCTTCGTGAGTGAGGCAGCAACCCCCCTCTTTGTTAAATCACACAGAGAGGAGGCTGTTTTGCCAGCATGTCGCCCAACTGAAAACAAAATGAGTCTGTTCTTTGGAAAGACGCAGATTTGCATCTGTCCGCTTTTATTGTCCATCCGGTTATTTGAGTACAAATATTTGGGGTTTAAAACCCACTTGAGCTGCTTCATATCACGTGACGAACTGATTTTTTTTTTTTTTTTTTTTTTTTATGATGCTCCATCACATCATGTCTCACAGTTCACAGCTTATCTCTGGTTCTCTGGGCCTGTAGAACAATCTGCAGGAGGATGGTAAAATATTTAGTGTTGCCGATGTCTTCTCGCTGCAAAATGTCCGTCTTATTATTAAGTCTTTTCTTAGTAAAAATAAATAATCTGCCTCTCGGCTGAGATAACTATATATATTTCCAATACACCTTTACATAAAGTCTTTACAGAGCTAAAAGGGGATCAATCTTGAGCCAAGAAATGTCCTCAAACTGGGCGATTGGGGAAAAAGCGCAAATGTCTTCTGTCTAGAATGTCTTTGTCTCGTTTCGGGACTAATAATTTAAAGACTGTAAAGTCAGAAAACATGACATGATTGTTGCGGTGGACTTCGCCTTCACTTGAGTCCGTGCTGCGTCTCTTTGTGCCGCCTCAGGTCCACTTTCCTCTGGAAGCCTTTGCCGCACAGGTCGCATCCGAAGGGTTTGTATCCGGTGTGTTTCCTGCTGTGTGTGATGAGGTTGGAGCTCTGGCTGAAGGCTTTCCCACACACCTGGCATTTGTGTGGCTTCTCACCTGGAGAAACAAAAACACACATTTAGGAACATTTTAGTTTCTATTGAACTATTCTTATTTTGTACGTCTGGAAGATTCCGGACTTTTGCGCACAAATTACGCACAGATTCTCAGGAACACCCAGACGTTCCAGCAACTATTTTGTGTTGAGATACAATCTGCCTTTTTCTCCACTTGCCTGTGTGGATGAAAGTGTGTTTCTTCATGTCTGACTTCTGGTGGAACCTCTTCCCGCAGTACTGGCACGGGTACGGCCGGGTGTCGGAGTGGATGAGCAGGTGCGTGGACAGAGTGGACGACCTCTTGAAACTTTTACCGCATATTTTGCAGTCGAAACTTCTTTCCTGAAACGTGAGCAGACAGCCGGTTTAGTCGCGACTCTCCACACCGACAGAGAAGAGTCCGGACAAAAAGAAGCAGATAGAGAAGAGGTGTGAACTGCAGGATGTGGGTTTAAAACGCCTGGCAAGTCACCTGAGAGTGCACAGCTTTGTGTTGTTCCAGGCTCACTCCGTGTCCGAAGGTTTTGCCGCAGATTTCGCACGCAAATGGTCGGGTGCCGCTGTGCGACCTGCGGACGTGGACTTCCAAACCGTGCGGAGTAGAAAACACCTGGTGGAGAGAGGAAAGAAAATAATTAAGCTTTTGCTTGAAATAGAAATCATTTTTGGTGAATAAATAGTTCATTCCAGTTCAGGAATAAAATAAAGAGGTCAGAGGTCAACCACAGAGCCATTTCAGCACTGTGTTCTTCTAAAGTCACATTTGGATTCTTTGATTCCCAGGCTGCAAACATTTTTTTGTTATTTTATTTTCAGTGACCACCACCTGCAGGTCAGAGGCTGTGTTACCCATCATGCATTTATAGGATGCCCTCCATCCTCACCTTGCTGCACTTGACACACTTGTAAGCACCATTGAGGATCAGACTGGAGCACAGCAGGTCAGACTGGGCCTTCACATTGTGGGTTTTCCCGTGCAGGCCTCCTTCAGGAAACAGCAGAGCAGCAGCGTGCCGCCTGTAGTCCCCATAAGACTCCTGGCCCAGAGCCCGGTCTGCGTACAGGGCAGAGTGGGCACTCCTGTCCCCGTAGAAGGCCACCACCGCCGGGCCCCTGTCTACCTCCACGCTCTGCTGCACCAGGGGCCTCAGCCCAGGCCCGTAGCTGCTCCAGGCATATGGCCTGAAGGGAACGGTGAAGGGCTGGGTTTCATCCACCAAAGGGGACAGGGACTTCTCAGAATCTACTGGAGAGGAGAACAAACAGAGGCCGGATGAAATTTTAATGAAACCTGTGACATGGTTGAAGCCAGGTGTTTTCTGGGGCCCCACAGGGCCTGACAGGAGTCATGCAATGTTCTTTTAGTAGTTACTGTTGGGGAAACCAGGAATATACTATAATAAATAAAAAGTGTTGGAATAAAGTTCTTTGAAGGCAGCACATTTTTATATGTAAACTGCCAGACAAAAAGGAGCTTTAATGTTTAGTTGTAAAAGGATACAATGTGACTGAATTCTTAATAATTAAAAATGTTGATAGCACATGAAACATGTAAAGTCTTTATAGAGCAGTCTACTGCAAAGGCCCCTGATATTTTTATGTTATCCACATGAGATCAGAAGTATTATACTGCCACTAATGCACCAAGTGTTATACTGTTATAGTTTCCAAAATGTGTCTGCGGTGTTTCCTGATTAAAAATAGCGAGTTTATCATCTTATCTGTGGTTTTTCTTGCCTCCTTAACGTCTCATAGTTGCTTGATCATTAAGCGGTGTGTCTGTGTGTTTACCCGGCGATGCAGAGGGGGACGGAGGCCTCCAGAAGTCCTCGTAGTCCGTGGAGCGACCGCACACACTGTCGGCGCAGCTCAGCGGGGACTTCGGGGAGAAATCGGCGGCGTCAGCCAGGTGTGAGTCCGGAGAGAGGCCGTACCTGTCCACCGACAGCTCGGTGTCTTCTGGGAGCTTATCAGCGTCTGAGAGGACACACGGAGGACAGTCAGCATCTCAGCGAAGAGGAGGTAAGAAAAGCCTAGTGTTGTTTTCAAACGAATACCACTGCACAAATATGTAACTGCTAGAATTATAATGAAGGTGTGGCACTTATATTATGGCTCTGGGAGAAATGTCCAAATATAACAGGATGATTTACAGTGTGTAAAATGGCAAACGGGTATGGTCAGCATCATCTGACTTCTAGCAATAATACAATATAATAAAAGCAATAAATAATAATAAACAAATGCGTCCCTATTAATCTATATATTTTTCGTTAGTGTGAAATCTCTACCGTAAACATCAGAAATTGCACTTTCATTTTTGTTTCGGCATTTTTCTAAAATTATATATAATTAAAGGCCCATTTTAATAAACTGAGCTGGCGCATTTGCAGCCATTTAAACTGTAAAATCAGTGAGAGTTGTTTGCATGCAGTGTCCCGTTGTTTCATAACTGATTATGTCTTTAACAATAATAATTCTCCTGTAAAATCAAAAATGTTTTGGTTTTTAAAAAAAAGCCACATTTTGTGCACTATATAGAATATTTACAAACGGAATCATTGCGCACAAACCTGAGCATATGCGCTCCAGTATAGCGTCCAGCCTGCTGTAGTCATCCTCCAAACTGCGGGGCTGGTGGTAGCTGTGCGCCTTCTTGCTCTTCACCATGAAGGAGCGAGGCATCTCTGATCTGAGAGCAGACACAGAGGATGAGGATGATGA